TAGCAAGATACAAAAAGCAAAATGCTTGGTTTATTATTTTTCCAAGTGTTTTGTCATCCTATACATTAGACTAAAGCTCTGTTCTTGAGGTTGAAGATAATGTCTATTCAGTATTTTCATTTCTGCCTTAACTTTGTCCTTCCCCCGGCTCAGTCCCTTTACTAGGTGAAATTAATCTATACGTGCTACTTCCTTACACATCCTTCTTCCACTCTTATTTGTAGGGGAAAAATGAGGTTTTGATAAAATATCTTGCAATTGCTTAGGTGCTATGTTATCTTTAGTGAGATCGTGCTAAAATTCAAGAAACAATACAAGTGTGTCTTCAACTATAGTAGTAAAGAAAAAGACACTTTTAGCGCCTGTGGTGGTTAAGAAAAAGCACATTTAGTTAATTGTGTGGGCCATAAGTATAAAATTGTGGATCCATGCTTTTGCAAACAGCACACACAAAATGCCATGAGTTTATGAATGGAAAGTATTCTTTGAAGCACGACTCATACTGCAAATTTTTGCATACAATTACAGTGTGGACAGCTTTCTGAGTCTTATGGTAAGTTCTGATTTCAGTGTAGACATGAGAATACTCTCTGAAAAGAAACATTCAAAGGAAGCCCAGTCCGGGGATGGGAAGATAGAGGCTGGAGATGGAAATACCTATATGAAATTATTTAACTGGGAGGTTAAACCACATGACTGTAATGGTTCCTTCTCCTTGTAAAAATTACTGGAGCCAGGTCTTCAAGAAACATCAAGGAATCAATTCAGTTCCTTGGAAATTAAATTTTACAAGTAGACTACTGTGTTTTAATTATACCTTAATCGGAAACAGTGTATTTCGGAGCTGTTTACTTAAGCTGGTTCAACTTTTCCCCAGTAAATTATATGCGTGCCAAGGTCACTTTTGTGTAGCTCTTACGTTATTAAATCATGTTGATGTTGCGTCATTGGAAATGCACCCTTTGAATTACCATGCAGATTTGTCGCTTGCCTCAGCACTTGAAGGTCTTAGGAGCCAGTTCCTTGGAGCTCTTGGCTCCAGTTTTCTAAGGTGGAAATATTGGTTGAAAATAAGACAAATGTGAATTTGCAGTCAATGAGACTGCAAAGACCAGAATACTGAGTACACTTTTTAAATGCTTTTTTTTACCCCCTAAAATTTTATGAAAATTCTAATGCAAAACAAATGCACACGTTTTTGTAGTAATTACAGGAACAGTATAAACAGTTACCTTGAAACTTTATTGTATGTTTACTAACAGTTGTTAGGTAACTAAAAAAAATTTTTTTTTACGTTTTTCCAATAGGAGTTATTACTATTTTTAATATTTTATTTCTCATATTTAGGATTTCTCTTCAGAACGATTAAGTAACTGAATATTTGCTATGAAAGAGTTTTCATGTAGCCACAATGTCTAACTATCTACTTGGTGGTTTTGACATTGTTCACACATGTACTTTCTTGTGTTTTTAAATCTCTGACCTTGACTGCTCAGAGTATATCTCCAAAGAGGTCCTTCATTTGATTAACATTGCTGCTGCCCTGGCTTGGAAACCAGAGAGCCAGCAATGAATTTGCAGCTGTGTTTGGTGATCAGCCCTGCAAGCTTTCTTAGCTCCTGTACCAGCTAAATTCAAGTGATCTGCCTGGCAGTGGGAACATCTTGTACAAAGCAAAACAGCTTAGATATGCAGTTGCCAGTAATATTTCAATTACTTTGACTGAAAGTGGGCTTGCAGTGCTTTGTGTTTGATTTACAGTGTACTTCATTTGAATGAGTTCTTTAATTGGAATTAATGGGTTTTGGCCTTGGGTTCTTCTGACAGGAAATGGATTATGTGGTTTCCACTTACATTTTTGGGTAGGTTTTTTTTAGTAGGATCTGTGTCTCAGAGCTTGAAGAAGAATTTTATTTCATATCTTACTGATGCCCCCTCATCTAGCTCTGCTCTTCAAAATAGAGATATTTGCTTCAGCAATAAAATTTCCCATAGTGTTGCCTAATTGATCATTTCACAAGTAAAGTTTAAAGTTAAGACATTTGTAGCTTTGCCATGTTATATGCTCACTTAAATTAACAGAGCAGGACCTGGGCCATTTTTGATTGTTGTAAATGTCACTTGCTTTTACTGTTGCCATTCACTAGGATGACTAGTTACTTTGCTGTGTTTAAGAAAAACTGGCTGCCCGCATGTATTCGTGGCGGGGATGGGGAGAGGTGTTGAGTGTTTTCTCTTGTGGTTTTCTTCTTCTGACTTCAGTATGGCTTGGTGGAAGTCTTCTGAATAATTGATGTCATTGTGATATAATTTCTGTGGAAATTTAAAAGAACATATGAAGCAATCAAATTGAACTGAATGAATATCAGCAACTTTAAATAATTAGTTAACATGAGAGTTTAAGGCTAATTTGTAGCCCATTCAAATCTGTGAGGATTTTTCCACTGCTCAGTTGGGCCTTTAAAACAAATTCCTAATGTTGTAAAGCACTTTAATTTAAAGTAGCTCAAGACAAAAGGTTATGTGAAAATATGCAAGTAATACACCAATGTTTTATATTTTGTGAACATATGTGTAATAAAAAGCATGTTTGCAGATAGCCATCTTTACTTTGCTACTAGCTCACTAATAATGGTGAATTCTAGACAAACAAAATACAAAGTAAATCCAGGCACATTAATCAAAAACATGGTGTCTTCAACCTGCCATAAATGGCTATCCTTTTATGAGTGCATTCTGTTTTGGACAAACATAATTTGTGGTGGATTCAGTCCTAAAATGTGTGCAGGACTGGTGTTGGCTGCTTTTGTTTTTAATAAATAAAGAATTTTTTAAATTCTCTTTTTATGTGTTTAACAGTGAATTTTCAAAGAGGAAGTACAATTTATGTTATGTCATAGAGGAGGAAAGCAAATACTGTGAGGAGAAGGGAGATGAGAGCTCTTGGACTGACTGCTATAAAAGATCTAATGCATGTTGTTACTGGGTACATATAGCTACTAGGTCAAAATACAGATAATTTTGAAGGCCACAGTATTAATTTATCCCCACTCTACGAAGTATCCCTCTACAGCAAGGGATGTCTGTGCCAGAACCCAGAGCTTTTCAAATCCTTTTGTGCTGCCCTGTCGTTTTTTACCCAGCCGTATAGGGCTAGAACAGAATTACAGATATCTCTTCTCATTATTGTAATTATAGATGGTGTTTTGGGAATATTTATCTGCTGTAAATGAGATTTTTCAGAAGCAAATCAGAATTACTCTAGTTTTGATCCCAGAGGAGAACAGAGAGGTAGTTATCACAGCTTTTAAGAAGAGAAAAGACAGGCCAATGCTGAACACTTCAGATTTAAAAAAAATACTTGTTTGAAATATCCTACTTGACAAAGTGATTGCATTTTGGTGAGTAATTGTGATGGATGAAACCAAGTTCATTTACCTTGCCGTTGCCTTTTAGATTGATCTGACTTATTTTAGGCATAGTTTTTCCAGTTCTGGACTTCTCCTGCCCAGCTGTGTCCTGCTAGTTACGCCAAATCATGTATCACCTTTCTGACACGAAGAACTCTATCCTGAGAGTTTGCAATATGACCAAGACTTTAATTTGATGTAAACAGGCAAAAAAAAAAATAGTACAGACATAATTGGGCTAATAGATAAATTAACCAGTTTAAAGGATTCATACCAAATGAGACTTCCAGATAAAATGTCAGAAATAACTTACGCATTTAGGCAAGACCTGCACACATACACGGACACACACACACAGAGCAACTCTTTCTTGTATGAACTGCTTACTAGTTGTACGAGCGCAACCCCTTGATAGAACTTGCATACTGACCCATTTTAAAATAGACTGTGTAAGTTTGGGGTTTGCCTTTTTGAAGTCCTAGCTGACTATTCAAAGAATAAAAAAGCTTTCATAAAACCCTTTTAAAATTTGTTTCTGTGACTTAATACAGATTTTCAATGAAATTAATCTCTTCAACATGTATGCTTCATAAGAGTTTTTAAATACGGAAAAAATCTAGTTCACTTCACTACTAAAAGCTAAATTCACCTGACAGCATTCTGGTTTTAAATGCGGGTTGTCATTCCAGCATGTGGAAATAAATGAATAATGTTGTGTCATTCCTTTATTTAGAGTGTATTGGGGTGAATCTTACATCCTCGGGGCTTTCACTGTATCAGATCTCTTTTAGTGAACTCGCTACTCAAAGAATATTATTTCAGAAGTTGCCATTATTCTTCCTTCCAGATAAATTCCATTATGTGTTGCAAATAACAATGCCTTGGCACTTTATTGGAAGTGAAATTAAGTAATGCGTGTTGAAGTTGCTGGAAGAAAGATGATTCAGTAACAGTACTTCAGCTTACCTTAAAAGAATACATTCACTTAATGGCTAAAAATAGGATGCTGCTTCTTAATGTTTAGGGTTTTACAAATGAATGTTAGAATGCCAGTAGTAGCCCAGTGGATGAAGCCCTATCTGTTGAGGGTAGCTTATTTTCTTTAGAAATGCTGCTGGTGCAGTGCAACTCTTGAAAGCAGTATGGTTGTATTAATTCTTCTCTGCAGCTCAGTGAACTGAAAGTAGGGTAAGACATTTGGATCTTGGAGTACTCAACATACATGTTTTCACCCCTCAATCACTTACTTGTATTCAAGCCAGTTTGTTGCAAATAAAGCTAGTAGCTTTCCTGGATGTTCGTATTGAAATTACATTTTTTGATATGACAAAATCATGATGAGTTAGATAGGCATTCACTAAGCAGCTTCATTAGAAAATCAGCAAGTGAATGAACTTGTTACTCCTAAAGACCTGTGGTATGGAGGGGCTGGCTAGAGAGATCTTGTAATGGTAGAGAGTTTAAATACAAGGCTAATTGGAATACATGCGTAATAGTTTTAAAAAATCATATCACGGTTAGTAAGTAGCCTAATTACTATGCACCATATCCCTGAAATCTAGTTAATTGCTTTTATTTCTTGTTTTTCAGATTATTTGAAGGACGGTCACCAAGGAAGCCTGAGAAACTTAAGACCCTTTTCTGCTATTTTAGGAGAGTCACAGAAAAAAGTATATCTTTTATTCTTTCTCTGAGCTACAGAGCAGATACATCAAAAAATATAATCCCATTAAATTTAGAAATGGCTATGCAGCATTATCAGGGAAGTGTGCAAGAAAAGCCAATTTGCGAAGTACACTGATAATGATATTAATGTCACTTCTTCTCATATAGATGATGAATTCAATTATATTTTTTGCATGGAGCTTATTCTGTTTCCTTTTTTCTGAGATTGCATATGCATATATATATATATGCAATGTGCAAAATATACAGAGATATATTTTCACCCCCATTATTACATATATATATGAAGAGTATGTGTATGTATAAATATACATATGTGTAATGTTTGTAATATATACAAATACCTGCTGCACCGCATCAGAATGAGAATGTAGAGGAAACTTAGCACCATATGTAATCAATAAAATCACAGGCTTAAAGATTATGATTCAAGCTTCGGATTTCCTGCAGTATGCACATTTAGTCCCTTGACTATAATGTTTGCAGTTCTGAAGGATTTTCTCCTATTTGTGATGATATTTCAGTTTTTTTCCTTCTATTCTCCCAAAGCAAAGCTGTTGTGAAGTTCACCCAGTTCAAATAAAACAAGTGATAGCAAGACATGGGATATCCACAGTGCTTTTAGAACTTAGTGCAATATTTTCCGTAGTGTATGTAGTCAGATCTTCTGTTGGTACCATGAATTTGAACAGCTGCACAAGCTTTCAAAAATAGATATGTTTTTGTGAGAACTGTATCAGAGTTTATATATTGTATTTTGAGGGAGAGAGATTTTACTGTGGTAGCATACATCACATATGCAGCAGTATCCTTATAGTATTTTTTTAAAGAACTTTAAGTGTCGGTGTTGCACTTTTAGCTTCACATTCTCAGAAGGGCTTGTTTTAAAAGACAGACAGCTTTAAGCTATTAAATATAAATACCCCTTGGTTCAGTCCATCTTCAGTTCATCATTTTAATTCACCACAAATTAAACACAGCTACATCCTGTTTCAACTATCAAACTTTCAGCAAGGTCAATAGAACTAAACCTCTGATGTAAAAAGTAAATTGTGATATATACATGGGACTGAGAAGAGATGCAGTGTACTAGCTTTTTTGTACTTAAGTAATAATATTTTCATGCAAACCAAATCCGAAATTTATGCAGCTGTCCCTGACCCCCGTGTGCATATGAAATCTGTTGGGAACATGCTATATGAAACTCCCATATTAGATTTCTTAACATTATAACTTTAAATAATATTTAATGAGATTCCTGAGTGTTCTTTTCTTGAATTAAAAATTCCTATCATAACTTTAAAAGACCCTATTTCTTGTTCGTTTTTGTCCAAGGAATTAGTAAGACTGAAGTAAGTTAGCTCTATAAATTACTGTAATAATTTTGCAACTCTTTTTATTGTAAATGGTAATTGAATTCCTTGTAAAAGAACACAGTGGAGACTATATCAGCTGAAGACTTTGTGCTGAAAAGATGAATGCTTAGTTTGTAAAATATTACCACTGGTACCAGAGTTCCCTTGTGGAAAAGGCTTTTGGAAGGATATGTTTGTGATTTACATATTGTTTCGAATGTTTTTCACAAACCAGCGCAATAGACTTCCTGGCTGGAGCAAAGAAATTAGTCTCAAATGCAGTTTTTATTAGGATGACATCATACTAATAGAAGGTTAGTATTTTCTTTCTGTTGCAAAGAGAAGATGATGATTCATCCTTCCTGCAGTGAGCAGTGGCTCCTCTTGTTCTCTTGAGTGCAGGAGTCTTTTCCCAGTTGAAATACAGTAAATTTCGCTAGCATCCTTGCAGAGCTGAAAACTGCTTGGTTTGGAATCCACTAGCACTGTATCTTTATTGACATAGTAGGACTTTCTAGGAAAGAAGAGCTGTTCCTTCATCTGTCCATGGGTTGACTATTTTGTGCATTGCTTGTTGACACTGAACAGTAGTCACCCCTGGAGTTTCACAATTTCTTTTTTTCTAAGTGGCAGCACATTCTACTTCAACTATTGAGTCTTTCTAGTAGTGGTTACAGTTTAAGTGAAAACCACTTAAGAAATAGCTTTTCCATGATCTGGAAAAAGAAAAACACTTAAACTCCAAAGGGAGAAGAGAAGTGAATATTTTGCTCTTTGTTACTTGTTTTCAATTTGAGCATGGGCTGTCAGGGGAAGACTCAAAGCTGCTCCTGAGGAAAGTTAAGCTCTTTTGTTTCTCCCCAAAATTATGTTTGTTGTAATTTAAAAGGCTACCACTTGAAATAATCTAAGGACTAAAGCTCCAGCAGTTAATACGTTTTTTTCTCTGGGGTTGATTTGCCTCTAGAACCTACGGGATTGGTGACATTTACAAGGCAGTGTCTCCAGGAGTTTCCAGACTGGGAAAGGTAAGTCAAACATCCCCTTAATGTAAGAAATGTCTTAAAACAACTGAATCCCATTCACATGGAATTGATTCAGACCTGGAAGTACTACAGAAGACAATGTTTGGTATGCATTGTTACGGAGAGAAGTACAGAGGGAAGTGGGTGAACTGCCACAAGTAGTTTGAGTGCCCGGAGTTTTCCAGTCTGTTTGCCTGTGAAGCCAACAAATCTTCAGTGAATTTTTAAAACAGTGACACATCTTCGGTGCTGTTGCTTGAGTTGGGGGGGGGGGGAAGAGAGAGATGACTTGATTTCAGAAACAACAGGAAATATAATGAAGTATGGGTGATAACCAGCATGAAAACACGTTGCGGCTTTCTTGCTGGTTAGCAAGTTAATGAGAGACAGTCTTGTGTGAAAAACATGGGACGTGAGTTTCGATTTTTGTTTTTTTATGGTGAAAGAGGTGGAGAAACTGAACAAATGACTATGTTAAACCTTTACAGATTGTTTCTGAAAGGCAAATTCATTTTCTTTAATCCACCAGGGTGTATTTTTTTTGAACAACCTTATGATTAAGCTGTGTAAGAAGTTTGGGTTTGGTTGGGTTTTCTTTTAAATTGTAGTCTATATGTGGAGATTCTGTAATCGTCCTTTCTGTACAACATTTTTCCTCAATGATAGATCTCAGAAAAAACTGTCTAGATTGCATGTCACCTATGAAGGCACCATCGAAAGCAATGGGCAAGGTATGCTACAGGTAAGCGCATATGTTGGTAAATGTAGCTTTGTGTCATGTTTCTGTCATACTTTTATGATCTGCCAGCTAAACAAAGTTATTTGTCTATCCTCAATTGACATAAATGGCAAGATGTTATACAGCATAAAAGAAAAATCAGAATTAATTCCATGGACGGTCTTAGTACTGTCAATATTCCCCAGCTCTTCTAGGTTTGCACATGTACCTGGTACAGAAGGAACTGACAGAAAATCACAAGCCCCGGACAGCTTCAGGTCTTTTGGTTCAAACCAGGATCTAAGATTGAAAAGATAAAAGTTTCACGCTGTGATCTTGATGAGTTGTCAAAGGTTTCAGTTTATTTTTAAAAATCATTCTTGTGCCCCAGACAGTGAACAGGTCAGTGGTTCAGGAGGGTTTCTTGCTGCTGCCAGTGCCACTCTTTTGGTTTGGGAGCAAGTCAGCAAAAGAAATTCATAAGAAAGATGTCTTGTCCTTATCTATCGCAAGAAACACGTTTGAGTTTTCAAATCAGTTGTTTGGGTTTTTTGCTTTTCTTTTTTTCTAAAAAAAAAAAAGTCTGCCTTCTAGAGTTCATTTACCAAAACAAAATGACAACTTCTTTAGCCAGGAACAAGTGCTGTGAAGGAAAGGGAGGAGGAAGAATGAGTGGCTGATCTCAGTGAGCTTTAGACTTGACTCTGACTCCTGAATCAATTTGTAATCTACAAATATGTTTGTGTCACTCGGGCAACTTTTGTTCCCCTCATGTAAATGTGCTCTCATCAGCTATCTAAATAAAAATCAGTAAGACGCTAACAGCATTTGAAATATGAGGTGACTTTTTAAAATTGTAAATTTGTACGGGCAGTTAGTTTGCATAAGTAGTAATCATTTTATTGAATAAACCAATTCCTTTTAAAACTGTTGTCTGTATAAAAACATAATTTGCAAGGTATGTATTATTGCAGCAAAAAATAGTCTGGATCTTCTCTGTTTCAAACAGAAACCTTAATGATCAAAATGACTTGCCTTGTTCGAGTGCATTTCAAGGAGAATTCATAAGAGATTCTTTTAGGTACAGAACAACTGGTACAGGGCAATGCTAATCTAGAAATGTCATTGTGGACAGCTGGGGCAGAATCCTTATTAAAGGACAACTTAATAATTTTTCAACATCCATAAAATGCAAAAAAAAAATAATTATAATTTGCTGTTCTCATCTGTCACATTTACTGAAATGTGTTTTATTCTTAAATATGTGCTCTTCAAAGAAAACCCACAAAATTTGGATTCAGAGAATTTGACATCAAAACTTTATTTTGCTGTGTAATACCTCACTTTTCACATTTTAAGTTTTCTGAGAAGTAGAAAGAAAAAAGAGGAAGGCATGCTGTTAATCAGGCTCTATCCTGTTGCTTGAATTTTTAAGTGATAGCAGCAGATTTCAACAGTATTGAAATTTGTGCAGGACTTTTTTTACCTTGATTAATGAGAGGATTTTATGCTGTTTGCTTATTTCATAATCTTCCTGAATATATTTTTGTTAGGTTGATTTTGCAAACCGTTTTGTTGGAGGTGGTGTGACTGGTGCAGGACTAGTACAAGAAGAAATTCGGTTTTTAATCAACCCGGAATTGATTGTATCGAGGCTCATCACTGAAGTCTTGGATCACAATGAATGTCTTATCATCACAGGTTAGTCTTGGCAGAAAATGTTTCACATCTTACTTTGGTTTTATATTTAGAAAATATATTTTAAGTTGAAGTTTAGTATGTTTAAATGCTGTAGGGATGAAAAAAAAAAAAAAGAAGAAAAAAAATAAGTTGGTACTCTTTGAAAAAGAGCTTCCTTCTTCACCCCACCTCTTAAGCCCATAGTCCCACTGTTCTAATAGATGTTTTGTGAAGGAAATAAACAAAAAAAGTGACAGCAAGTAGGCATGAATGTTTTTTTATCCTCTACAAATGTGTTTGAGGACTCAGTGTCTTTAGGCCTAGCTAAAGAATACTGTTGGGCAATATAGGTAAAAAGCCACAGTCACCAGCTCTTAGCAGGTAAACCTCCTGTTATGTTAAAGCAGGGGCTCTTTTTGTTCCTGTCTGGAATTTGTAACATTAGATGTGATCCGTGGAATTGAAAACTCTGAGAAGAGGAACTGTCTTATGGTTGCGGAAAAGGGGATGAAGTGGAAGAGGTAAAAATCATCATCCATTAAAAAGGGTGGAAAGTCAGGAAATGTCTCTTAGGGGTTTTTGTTCTTGTAAGTTACGAACATGTGTTTGTGCTACTTGTTAGTTAGACATTTCTAGTTGCAACAGCAAAAATTAACTGCTTCTCCAGTATGTTGTTGAGGGGCTGTATATGGAGATGCCCTGTCTGTTCAGTGCTTTGCTGAAAATGTGTTTCCCTTTGTTTCCACCTCTGTCATAGAACTTGAAATGTTTTATTATCCACTGGATCAAAACAGCTAGTATCAAAACACCAAATGTCACTATTAAGAACTGGAGAGGCCCAGGTCGATGCTGTGTGTGTTTCAGTTCAATACACAGGAACACAGTGAACATTTTTCATGACTGAAAAATAAAATGATGCTACAGTATTTTTTTTATTTACTCTAACAAACAGCTATAAAATAAAAATATTTGATGGGAGAGGTCCTCTAGGCAAATACTGTAATAGATTATGTATATTTTATATTTTTCAGCTTGTTATAGTAGAAGTGTTGGATTTAGTTACCTGAGCTGCCTCAACAGTCAGGAATTTGTACAGGTATTAGAACACATTTCTTGGAAAAGTCCTTCCAAAGCACCACTACTTTTCACATGCATGCACAGTAGAAGTTTAAGCTTAGATCTTGCAAATCTTACTCTGTTTTGAGCTATTGATTGTACTGGGCAGAGCATCTTTTGTTTTAAGTCTTATACTTGGTAATCTTTCTAAGACTGTTCTATTTTGTTTCTCCACCCTATCAAAATTAATGCATTTTCTTTGAAAACTTTTTGATAAGTCATTTTTTGAGATTGCCTTTTAAAAAATGAGTCAGAAAATTCTTGGTCATTACTGATTTCTGTTGTGTATTTTGGATATGATACTATAACATGATTAACATATTGAAGTACTGTCCTTTGGGTGAGGCTCTTCTGAGGAGAGTAAAATCAGAGCACAGCCTGTGTAACAACTGATTGGGGGAAAACACTAAATGAATGTTTTGAAAGATCTGATTCCATTCCCCTGCAAAAAATGGTAATTTGGCATGAACAAATAAAGGTGAGGATGTTTTTTCACTGCAGCAATATTCCTGTAGTTTTCTTGAGTACTTCGTAGTGTTTTGCAATTAGTATCTGTGATACGGTGCTCTCTAATGGAAATGGCCATTCCATCATTTTCATTTCATCCCTGGAGCTCATCCACCTCGGTTCTTAGCCAAGTCCCCATTGCGTGTCACAATGCTCTTAATAAATTACATTCTTTGTGATGCGTCTTGGCTCAGCGGCCTAATGGTTATAACTGTGTAGCTTAAATTTGCAGAAGACACTGAGAAATTGGAGAGAAATTAAATTTGTTGTGATTGCACAGTACCTGGTTAAAATCACTGCTGTAATGAATATGGAACTGGTCATGCAAACAGTCAAGTTCTTAAACACAGACATCTACCTACAGAAATGTCAGCAGCAATACCAAAGATTCCCACAGCTGCATTTCTGGTAGAGCTGTGAATAAGTGTCAGTGGTTTTCATTCAGGTTTGTTGTTTGGGGCTTTTTGTTTGTCTGGAATTTGTTTGTTTGCTTTTTTTCCTGTTTGAGTTCATGTATACTCGGGCAGCATTAAGAGCAGATGAAGCTGTGTTCCATACTTGCTTTAAATCTACAGATTGAACTGTACAGATCTAAAGTCCTGACTGCGCCTTAACAGTGCATTTTCAGAGACTCCTGAGCACATTACCCATGCGGTAAATGAGATCAGATAATTGGTTCAGCTGAAAATTTACTCAGAGGGAAAAAAATGATTTTCAGCTGCATTTAGCAGGCAGATCGTGCCGCTGTCTGGAGAACCAGAAGGCTGGTGGTGGCACAAGATAAGGATCAAAAGAACTGATTGAAAGGGAGAGAAGTACCTTCCCCTTGCTTTTGGCAGTAGATGTGTGTTTATATTGGAGACTACAAAACTACACTCTTGTGCTTTTCACATGTGCTCCTTTTTTTTATTCAGTGCTAGTGGTACTACCTCCTCAGAGGTATAAGTTCTAGTTCATAAGAAATACTACAGACAGTATAGTGTTCTTTTTCCCTGTCCCTGGGGACTTTATAATGCCATACGGGTCATGCAGATGAAAAGCTAGACTATGGAGTCTGAGAAAGAGTTGCAATTATTACTGAAAATAAATAGACCTGTCTAGATGGATGAGGTCCTGTAAGCACTAGCACTTGGCAATTTCACTGTTTGTCTGATGCTGTGACTATTATGTTTCACAAATAATGTATTTTTGAATTATATTTGTATATACTTTCTTTTGACTTTAGGCTTTTTCAGTTTTTATAGCTTGTTTTTAAAGTTGTGATGGAACTATGCTATTATGCTGTATTTGTGGCTTGGCTTTTTTTACCCCTTTCTTTAATTTTTTATGGGAAGAAAAAAGACTCACCAGAAACATTAGCATATCCAATTTATCCAATGCTGCTTCTGTTCTCCCAGCCACAGCAGTTTGTATCCCGGTAGTCACAGGCAAAAGTGCTACCAGTTGAATAACCATTTTTGTCTGTCAAACTTCCAGACCTTCACTTATGAAAATCTATTGATTTTCATTAGCTTTGGGTTTCTGGGACACAAGTTTAGAGTTTTTGTGATTTCTTTGAGTTTCTCTGTTACTAGTTTTTGTTGTTGTTGTTGTGGTGTTTTGTTTTTTTTTTTTTATGTGTGTGTATATGTTTATTTGCTTGTTTGTTTCCTAGTGCTTTCATCATCAGGCACTGCACTTCCATAAAACTTAATGAAAACAATGAACCTTGAAAAAGTCACCTTAATATTTGACTGTCATTTAACCTATCCTGTTACAGTATCTTGATAACCATTTCAAAGTTGGAAGTTCTGCTGTATTGTCCCCCAAAGAGACCACTCAGAAAAGTCACATGCTTCCCTTGTCTGTCTTTTACTATTTGTTCAGAGACTTCTTCCAGGCATATCAGAGCCACTGAATTTTACTGGTGTCAGGAAAAGTCTTACTGAAGGTTGACAGTGTACAATTCAATTAGAAGGTTGACTTCTGAATATTTAAGCTGCTCACAGTTGTCCTTTGTATGAGAGCATGGATGTATGTGGATATATAGGCATATTCTGCCATCACAATTTTTTTGGACTTTGATTTTGTAACAGGAAGTGAATTCTTGGTGAGGAATCTTTTACCATCCCACTCATTTTGCATAGCAAAGTTTCAAAATAGCCTTGAGTGGAATTTGTGTGCTCTTAGTGTCATTAATCATCTAGACAAATCTAAACAAATAATGAGTAGATAATAGGGCAGATGAGTTAAAGAAGTGCTGATAAGTCTTTTCAGTTAAAATTAATTTGGGTGAATGGGAAAAATGTCTTGAAATATATGCATCGTTTTAAACAGTTTTTAACAGCTTGTTTTCTATGCTTGAGACTACTGAAAGCAAGTATGTGGCATTATTTCAGGCGTATTTCTTTGAAGCATTTGTGCATCCCAAGGCTTTGACACAAGGTCCTGAAGTTCAGTAAAACGAGGTGAAAGGCAGCCTTTTAGATAAGTTAAGATCCTTACTCTCATTTAAAATGCTGCTCTTCTTGGTCTTGGGATAAACCTTTGAAAAGGAGTTGGCATAGCAAAGCATAATAGCTAATATTACCGGAGCTCTTAATGAGCTACTTTCTTACATCTTGCTTAATGCTTGCCAAGATAGCCTGCTTGACTTTTTCAGAGCAGCCAAGTATGTTCCAGACCATGGTTTTGTGGGTCCTCAGGCTTTTACAGAAGTAGCTTCTTGGTACTCACCGCCACAGCTGAGAGCAGTGGCCTTTTGGTCCTTTTGGTGCCATAAATTGCTGTGATATCTGAAAATATGTGTTAGGAACCATAGTGCGGAAATCATGCTGAACACATGTAAACCAGAATGATAACAAGGGGAAGAGGTGTATTGGGCAATGGAATAGGAAGCCTAATGGCCCTGCCTATCCTTGTGTAGGGGTGCCTTCAAGAGACTGTAGGACAACAAACTGGGTAACACTGGCATGTTACCAGGATATCTGCTTGGTTTCTGACAATCAGGGTTTTCTTTGGCTTTACGGATTTTAATTTTGTTAGAGAAATAAAATGTATAAAAATACAGCTCACCACATACACTTTGAATCTCTTTGTATTTTTCTTCTTGTGTTTCCTAAACTGTCAGCCCAGATGCTTACTAAATTGTGATGAAGTAGGGTTGCCACATTTTCAATAGTGGAGTGTCTCTTTTATCATGGTGTTTACAGGTAGTAGCCTCAAAAAAAGAAAAGCAAAATTCTGGTGTCACAAAGGCTCACAGTTTTTGTTAACCAGATATTAACCAGTAAAACTTTTTTAGAAGATGACAGGCAGTTTATGGAGAAGCTATTGAACTTGAGAGTGGCAAAGTTGAACACTATCTTCATGCATTATGCTGGACAGCATACGTAGATCTGGGCTTGTAATGTTCTGTGGTGGTTACTGCACATCGTCTGTGTAAGCAAAACAGCTTCTACTGGTTACAAGAAGATCTTATATTTTTGGTGCAGATAGAAATCGCAATTTTTCATTGCTTCCTAGAATTGTGTGTTCACTTAGGAGCAGTGATTCCTATGGAAGATTTGCCAAGTGAAAAAATAGTACATATTTTATATGTAATGTGGAAAATCATTTGTTTCAGGTACTGAGCAGTACAGTGAGTACACAGGCTATGCAGAAACTTACCGGTGGGCTAGAAGCCACGAAGATAAGACCCCAAGGTAAAGTTCCACATAAATATTTCAAGTGAGGAATAAATAAGTGTTATACATTTTGAAAACTTAGTGCTTTAAGTATTTCCTAGCATTTGCCTTAATAGAGAATTTGACTGTTTGATTCTGCTCTCTTCAGTAGACCCAACAAGCTAAGCAAGTTTTATTATTAATGCTAATAAATGGTACTTACCAACATGTCAGTTCTTCAACTAACATCTCTTGCAGTTATATGTATGTAATTCAGATTTTTAAGCTACTGACTGAACTGTGGATTGTAATCTCACAGATTTGATAATGATACCTCGGGTGTCACAGTGCAGCTGATGTGTGGCAAAATAAGATTTAATATCATGAATCTGAGTAGAAAGCTCTGAGGTCTTGAATTTATTTCTTCAACAATGTTATCATAGTGCATGAGCAAAATTATTCATCTGGTATAGAGACATACACAATGTACTATCATTTAAATGTTGGGGGAAGACAGGGAGCCAAAGTATTTTTTTGTGACCTTGCGATATTCTTCCGTACTTAATAAATAGTGATATGTAATTAGATTTGTTTCATGCTTATGTCCAAAGTCTAGCCAGAGTATTTCTAAATTTATAGGGAGACCTGTCTCATGTCTGATGCTGCTTTCATTCCCAACCCATAGAGAAAGGAAGTGTTCCATTGTCTGTTAGGAGCTCACCTTTCTAGCAGCTTCTAACAGAGAAGCTCTGCAGAGAATTACTCAGTTTGCATCGTGATTATATGGCTGATATTAATCAACTAATGTTATCTACTTTTCTCCTCCATCCAATTTTAGGGATGAATGGCAGCGACGCTACACTGAAATTGTTGCTATAGATGCATTTCACTTCAGACGTTTCCTTGATCAGTTTGGTCCGGAGAAAATCAGAAGAGAGCTCAACAAGGCCAGTACCTTCTTACAACGGCCTGCAGTCTGATGTTTATAGTACCTTTTCAAATATTTTTGTATTATTGTCTTCAGCTAAGGAAGTTCTTGCTCAGTTGTGTCCCTTAAAAGGTGTGCTTTGGGGTTTTGCTGTCCAGTGTTAAAGCAGAAGCTTGTCAAGTAAGATGACTCATCTTTGATATGCTATTTGAAGGTGTATTTTATTTAACTTCCAAAAATACAAATGAAATTCGGTTATACATTTTGTTAACTCTTCACTGTCCTGCTTCTAAATTATGATTTTAAGTTCTCTTCCCATGATTTGCTGTTCTGAATCCTACTCAGCCGTACAGTCAAGGTGGAGGAGGGGTTGCCTCATGTTTTAACGTGGTGATAGCTCATAAATATGGTGCCAGTTGCTTTTCTTTTACCTTTCTTGTTTGTTCTTGGGGTATTGCCATATTGCCTGGGAGTTTCTTTTCTTTATATTGATGTCTTCTTGAGATAGAAGATTTATGAACAGCTGGATCTATCTTTATTTGCACGATAGCTGTAAGGGCTGTTGCAACTGAATATGTGTATATACGTGCCAGTTAGAGCTCACAGTGATGAGGGTGTTCAGAAGACTAATAAATCAGGCCAGTTCTGTTTAAAGGATCAGAACTTTTAGACTGACATTCAGAAACAGCACACTTCCTACTAATAATTCTTACACATTTTTAATCATTATCACTATGTATTCAAAGCAGTCAGTCACTCTACGTTTGCTGTGTGTATACGAAACTGCACTGCCCCAGTGGCTATGGCCCTTGGTAGTCTGAGTCATCAAAGTTGCCAGGCTGAAGAGCTCTCTGACAATAGAAGCTGGAACTGTGGCGGGCATCCTTTTTCTTTCCTTTGCCCTCCCTAATTTCGGAACTTGCCCTTAAATGAGTTTCTAGGTTGTTCCCAGCCCTTGGCCTCTTCCCCGAGGCTGTGTGCTGCAGTGTTTGGGAACATGGGGTTTCTTTCCCAAGCCATGGCAGGTGCTTTGTCGTGTTGCATGGCTGAGATTTCCATGTTACTTGTTTCTCTTCTTGCTTTGCTGCTGCTTCTTTTCTTGAAGCTAAAGCAGTCTTTTCTTGGCTCTTGTGGTTGTACTTAATGACTAGTAATTGCCATAGTGAGCTGTTTATAGTTCTGAGGCCTTAGCTTTCAACCTGTGCCAGTGTTTTCATGGCCTTTGCTGTTATCCCATGCATAAATTTTATCTCCTAACAAGAGATGCCTGGTATCAGTCTCCAGTTCACATCATGAATTCTCATAAGCTAGTAAGAAGGCTAATGGGCCAGAATGTGGGCCTCACATAGTTAGTATAAGGCATAGGTGGTGAAAGGTCTGTGGCCTGTTATAGCAACGGCAGTGCTATTTTTACCAGGCAGTTGAGTACAAGAATGTTTATACAGTTTTACTATATTAGTGTGCTTATATTTGGGTTCAAAACATGCTAACAATAAAGCCTGCTTAGTGTGCTTCTACATTAATAGATGCTGTGGGCCTCTGTTTTAGCTAGGGTGTTAAATATAAGGGCAAAATACTACTGTTATTAGTCCTCTGCTTTCTGTAGTACAGGAGGGTATAGAATAATAGAGGATGCATTTTACATAAATTATAACACAAGGCAGTGTGCTTCTAATTCTCAGCCAGAAAGAGAAAAGGAATATACCTGAAAGCTCAACCTTTTTTTTTTTTTTTTTTTCTCCTCCTAGAAATGATGTACAGGACTGAAGGGCTAATTTAATTTAGTTATAAAACCTTAGCATCTTGACTAAAGTAACATTCATCATCTTGTTTCTTCATGGTTGGTAATGAAATTAGCCCTGAAAAAGACAGTAAATAAATTTTGTGTAAACTTCAGTGATATCTCAGTACAAAATTAAAATTACCTACTCCAGTGAATTTATGATCTGCCTACAATTTTCAATATTATTGATGGGGCTTGGATTTTTAAAATAAATTACAGTAGATCCATGCATCTTTTCTACAGTGTGTAGGTTTGGCTGATGTTGTTTGATGAGGTTGATTGGTATTTTAAAAAAAATTTAAGCCTGATTTTATTTTCATTAAATTTATTGGAAGTTCTATAGTATTTTAACAAATCTTTTTTTTTTTTTTTTTTTTAATGTGTTCTGGTGGGTTTTTTTCAGTTTGACTTAAAATTAATATTAACCGTAAGATTTTTTTTCTGTGGGTGAAAACAAGTTGATGGAATAAGCAGCACCTCTTTCTGTTACAATTTAATAAATCAGGACTCAGTAAGCACAGTATATGCACACAGGCTTTGAAATACGAGTGTATTATGAATTAGTAGACAACACAGCTCAGTATCCAGAGGTTCTTTGGTCTGTTACTTTGTTAGACATTAGGAAATGATTGAAGCAACTCAAAGTGATTCTTCTTATAACCTGTATTTTCTTATAAGTCTATATGATTTCTCCTTTATAAGATCCAGTTGTCTTAAAGAAGCAGGTGTTCGCTCTCGGTTAGTTTTCTATAAACGTAGCTGCCTGAAGCTGACCCTTGTTTCTGGTTTTACCCATACTCATAAAATAAGATTAATATGGTCTGAAGTCAGCTGTTCAGAATTTAAAAAAAAAAAAAAAAATCATTGTATCGGATTTCAGCATTAAGATTTGCAGATATACGTGTAAGAGATGTCACTGTTTCATCCTTGCTAGACCCTTGAGATGGTTGCCTAATAAAGACTCTCACTAGCATTAATTTTTTCAGTTGCAGGCTCCACTTTCCAAATCCTAAGGAACAACTGACTTGCAATTGGGCTTGCAATCCCACTCACAAATGTCATTAAGCCTATATTGATAGTCACCAATTTTTAAAAAAGCTACGGTTTTGTATTTGGCAAGAAATGCTTCCCTAAGAATTATGGTATGCAGAACGATTATGTTTCAAACAGTGTTAACTGTGAGAAGTATATGTAACAGTTTTATATGAAAACAAACCAATTGTAAACATCACACAACTTCAAATATATGGTATCTCATTATTTAGAAGTTGTGTACAACTTAAAATCAGATTAACTTCTGTAGTTCAAAAAGAACAGCTCTTCTGCTTCCCATATGGATGCAACTTCTTTAAAACTGCACAGAAAGCTTTCAGATTCCTGTATTCCTAGGTGAAACCTATTGAAAATATTGGTGCATTGTCTCTTTTCTTAAAAAGTGATCAGTTTTATCTTAATCCTTTATTTGCTATGAAAAATCATAGGGAGCACTTAAATTTTTTTCTTCTTTGCTGCTAAAGTCTTTCCAAGTATTTGCTGGCTTTCTTGCTGTGTCTGAGACAGTTTTTGTTCTCTGTGTCCTGGAGAGTTGAGAAATACATGACCATTAAGTAAAAGCTGAAAAAAAAAAGGTCATCCTGTTGCAACACCAATCCATTTCCCTCACTGGGAGGATGGAGTTTGAAGAATTATTGTCCACACAACCAAAGTACTAGCTTGCTTGGCCCACTAGTTTCGTTAAACTGTGCTTTGGACATTAAGCACTCTAATAACTGACTTAAAAGAGCTCAAGAAGCTGCATGCACCTGATGATTTGTAAGTGCTCCTTATACAAGTTCTGAATCATGGTACCCAGCGAAATTATAACGAACAGAAGTCTGAATTTTCAGCTTAGATCAGGTTGGAGTGAAACTGTGGGTACTTCAGTCAGTACCATAAACTTGTACCAATTAAATAAACTTTTGTACTGTTGAAAAAAAAAATTTCCAAATTTATCTTTTTTTCTATACATGGAAGCACCTGCATTTACTCAAGATTTCTTAGTGAATACCACACTTCTTCCTCCTACTCTCATTTATTGCATTAGACCTGTATTCTAAGATGCTATTCTGTATCTTATTTTCAGTTTGGAGGAATTTTAGTAATACTGGACACAGCAGTTGAGCTGTCATGTATGCTAAATGGGCCAGAAAGCAACAAACATGATATAATCTACTGTTAAAGTTATTCTGTGCTCTGGCTATCCTGAAAAGTTTACTGTAGCTGTGATGAAATCACTAGGAGTCAGCACCCATTTCTAATTTTTAACTCGGATCCAAATAAGGCAAAATTCTTCTTGCCTTAATTTATTTAGTGATTGACCTTAAATTTAAAGGAAGATGGATGGTATATTGAAGTAGTGTGAGTTTGATATTGCTAGAAGACAATACTGATTATTGTTATCATCTTACTGTTTGAAAATACTGCACTGGATTGCCTGTCAGCTTCCTCTTCTGACTCCTGTCTGCCTGCAGGCCTACTGTGGCTTCTCTCGACCCAATGTTCCACCTCAACATCTCTCTGCAATAGCCACAGGAAACTGGGGATGTGGTGCCTTTGGAGGAGACTCCCGATTAAAAGGTAAATTGTAGCAGTAATGTCCAAATTAATCAAATAACTTGGATTTTGATTCTTGGCCATATGTTTTTTGTTTAAGTACGTTTTTTGGGTTTGTTTGCATTAATACATTTTAGCCAAGAATTGGAGTAATAGTTAAACAGTCCATAGAACTGCTTCATCAGTTTTGATCTTTAGGCCGTGAGTAATGTGGCCTTTAACAATAAAAATGCATGCCGCTTTTATGTGCTATTTTCAGTTTAAAGTTTGAGGTAAGTATGGTGAAACCCTGGGTTTACAGGGAGCTGTAGCACTGAAACCTTGAAAAGCACGGACATGCAGTATTAGTTCACAAAAGAACATGTTCCTTGCAGTTCTTAGGCGTAGAAATCAGTTGACCTTTCTGGAGGAGTCTTTTTAGATTATGCCTAAAATTCATATCTCTGAAAAGCTGTTTAAAGTACCTGGTAACTCTTAAGGCTTCACAAACTTGTTGGCAATGCTTAATGTTTAGTTTTGCTCCTTAACGTATTGCTGTATGCCAGAAAGGGTTCTAGTCACTCAGACATGCTTCTTTCTTTCCAGACTTGTCTGCTATATCACTCACTTTCTCATGTTCTTTTATTTTTAATTAGAGTATTTATAATGCAGCAGATATCACATGCCTACATTAGTTTAAGACTTCTTCCCATCAAGTCAAGAACTGGTGGATCATGACATTTAAATTGATATCCTGAGTCATATAGTTCTAAGTAGAAATTTACATTTTTGTTGTTTTCAAACATTTGGAGAGTATTTAAAATTTGCTTTTCAGAACAGCTTTAGGTAGTTACATTGAGACAAACAATCATCAGGCTACCAGCTTCATTAGTTTTCTTTCTTAATGTGTTTTATTCATTGAGCATCTATTTTTCTTAATGCTCATTGATTTCCTGACAGTTGTTTTCTGATTTCCATTAGATAAAATGGGCTGCCAAGTGCAGATCATCAATAGCAGAAGTAGTATTTACTGCAGGATCTGATCATACTTGATTATGATGATGTCAGGAAGATTTAATAAATGCTTTGATTTGCATAAGGCCTCCTCTTGGATCTGAACTGTAGTATCCCATATTTTGGTGTTGTTTTTTGGGGTTTTTTTTAATGGATGGGTTTCTGATAAAAGTATGGCTCATCTGATCTAAGACGTTATTTGTTCAACACTGGATGTGACTTGTAGAATAGGGATTGTTCATTGCAGTGCTTTACTTGTTCTCCCCATTGGTCAGAGCTTAAAACTGAAGTATGCTGGCCAAGACCACCCGAGCTGAGTCCATTCAGTGAGGTATCCCAGAAGACAAGTCTTTGATGTAGACAAAGAAAAAAGCTGTGAGATGTGGGGATTCGTAACTTGGATATGAACTCCAGGCAGAACATGAGCATGTAAAGATTTGAACATTCTCTCAGTTTTATTTTAACTTAATATTTTAGTTTGAGCTTTCATTTGTGTATCTTCTATTTTGGTTTTGGATCAGCCTCGTTTTTTTTCCCAAAGTATGCGAGAATTAACCCAACAGCAAGTTACAGCACTGCTACTGTTACAAAATCTACATTTATGTGTGTAGTCTCAAATCTTTTACTCTTCTTTTGGGAGATCTTACAAAGACAGACATTAGTTTAACTTGCACTTAAGTTACTCTTTTTGTAAAAATCAATACTTAATAAAGAGAATTAAATGATGGTGATGTGCTGTGGGATATGGAGCTAGTCATTTAGTATGTGATGATTTTCTTCAAGCTGATGCTGACTAGGAACAAGATGGCTTCGTTCTTTTTTGTGTAAACGATGAGCTATAAAAAGAGTACGTTAGTTTGTCATGTGTGTTTTTGCCAGAATAGAGTTGCATTTGATGTGTGATAACCAAATACAGTCTTTTCTAGTTCACAGATATTCCCTTCACAGTCATAAGTGCTAAAGGTGTTTCTCCCTTTTGTTCTAAAATACTGTATAGGGTTATTCTGAACTGCAAATTCTCTCAATGGTTTCACTTCATTATAAGGAAATTTCTTACACTGGGGAATAACCTTTTACACGTCACAGGGAGTCATAAATTCTTCATTTCTGAATGTGTTTTAGAAAACTTGGAGATTATCAATATCACACTTTCTCTGAACCCAAATGAATAGTTTCTGTTCACTATGCAAGCTTGACAGTGTGTTGCAATGACAAAATCATTTTCATAGTTTAAAATCTTGCTTTTACATTTAATGTTCTTAAATATACACCCCTATCCTTTCAGAAGTAGTATCTACATCTGTAACAGACTTCAGAACCACCAAAGTATTTGATGTAATTTGATATAACTGGATAAGTGCCATAATGCACTACGATATTTTATTGTGGGTTTTTTTTTGTCATGAATTAAAGCAAGGTGATTGCGTATAAAAATATTGCTTCACTGAAGGTCACAGATGATGCAAAAACTAAAGTCACCTTAGGGGAGGAAAAAAATAATCTAGCTTTATAAATTAAAGACCTGGTACATAAACAAGACAGATTCCAGCTAAGTTAGGGATATTTCCACAAAAGTTTAGTATAAACTTAAGACTTCCAGTACTGAAAAAAGTATGTTTATGTAATTGGGAGAAGTTGGAAGACCTTGTCTTGCCTTTCAGACCAGATAATTTAACAGTTACTAGCTGCAGGAGCTCTGTGCAACCGTCTGAAGACTGGAAAAGTGCTGCTTTATTGAAAATGCAAAGGAGATGATCTGCTGAGGCATCTCATGAATAAATGAATTTAACTTATAATGATTGTGGAAAAGTACTCTTTAGCTGTATTGGTGTTCTTATTTATCGGAGAAGATAAATTTCAATAGGAAGACTGCCATCAGCTTTAAAAAGACTCTCATGGGACTAGTGGAAGGAGAGAAAAGCGTGCCTCTTGCCTGGCGTAACAGCGTGCGATACCACGGTGCTGCCCGTGGTACTTGAGCCGCTCAGAACTGGCGCAGCCGGCAGCGGCCCGAGGCGCGCCGGGCGTTCCGCCGGGTGTGGGGCCCCGCTCCGCTCGCCCCCGCCGGGCCGGACAGTCCCCGGCGGTAACGTCCCTTCTGCTGGAGAGAAGGGACTGGACCAGGTGTGGCCCCGGAGGGATTTGTATTAAAATCTCTGTCGCCCTGGCTGGGTGGTAGAAGGAGGTGTGTCAGCACAGCCCTTTCTTCAGGTACGAGTCCAGACGCGTTAACTGGTGGTCACATCGGCTGGGTGCGAGGTGCAGGAGAGCCAAATCCCTCCAGACCCCTGTACCACAGGCTCTGTTGCTCTTCCTGTGATGCTCTTCTGTTATCAGTAGCACGGAAGTTTTGCACGGTACTGCATATCGTTAATGCCCAGGAGACTCTGAAGCCTGGTTATTGACAGAAATTTTGACCCTCATTTCATAAGATTTACAGCAATTCAAAATAAACAGTGGGATATTTTTAATATCTTCTGTAAAGTGAAACTGCATTAGTTGTTTGGAATGAATAATAAGATTCATTACGTTCTGTTCCCCTATGCAAGCTAGTTAATTAGACCCTTTAAAAGCTTAACTACTGAAGCTTTACCAAATCCACAGCTGGTTCGGTAGTTTAATTAAAATATCATTCCCAGATTGAGATTAATTTCACATGTGGATCATGTAATTTATAATTTTAGCTATGGGTTTACAAGAGGGGGTTTTTGATTAAAGAGTGCAGTATTTTATTAGGTCTCTGTTTAAAAACATGAAACATTCTTGAACTGAGCTATGAACGGCTTTTTATTTGGTTTCTGTTAGCAGGTGGTAATGCAGTATGTACACTATTTTATTTAAAATTAATCTTTAAAAAGACAATATTAATCACATTTTTAATTAACTCTACTGGATAGAAAAAGAAAGAATTAATATCAGAACTGCACCCATAGACTGAAGTAAGATAAGCCACAATAGATTAAGTAGTTGCTGGGGCCCATTATTTGGACTGTTGTAACATTACCTGAAATGAATTTGTGATTGCACACGTCTGTGGCACTCCAGCCTCACAGTACTGGTTCGTGAAAAAGCTGAGTTGTTCTAATAGTTTGGTGCTTACCTAAAAGGGTTCTGTTTTTAATTCTCCCATTCTCTGTTCCTGGCTGTATGGTCTGGTGCCCTCCCTTGCATCAGCCCTGGCCTTCAGCAAACCCTTCACTCGGCCAATTCAGCTGCTCACCTGGCAGAAAACAATTAGCTTTTATTCTTTTGTTGCGTAACTGTTCTGCCAGGTTGGTGAATGGAATTGTCTGAGCACCTGAGGGCTGCAGAAAAGTCAGGAGGTGGGTGAAAAGGGAGAAAATGTAGCTGGACCGGAGCCACTTTCTCCAGTTGCAGTGGGTCATTAGCTTGGCTCAGCTGGACCATTAATCAGTACTCTGGATGATTTCTCAAGATGAATCTTCAAAAATCTTTGTTTGTGGTTTTTGGTTTTGTGGTTATTTTTTTCCCCATATAGAAAAACAAAGCCTATTTTGTAAAGTTAGCCATTGACAGAACTTGGGATGCAGCTTCGTCCAGTGGGTTTAAACGTAAAGCTGGAAGTTAAATAACCTGAATTGCATTGCTGGCATTGCCACTCACTTTTTTTATAGGTCAGAATGGGCCATCATATTTCATGCTGCTTACTTCTCTTATAGGTGAGATGGATAACTTAAATTGCACAGTAAGAGGCTGCAGGACCATGGATCTCCTCTTGGGAGCTAAAAGTTGGGTCAGCTCCTGCTTTGTGGAACTTACCTAGCGAAAGGGTTGGCTCCATTCCTTCTGCACGGTGGCAGAGGATGGGAATTGTGATGTGCTAATGGATGCTTTTTACCCCACTATTTGTGGCTCGATGCAAGCAGCTTAAACCAGGATGTAAGATGGTGCTCTGTCTTACGCTGTTGTGCACGTTTAAGGGATAACTAATGGCTGCATGCTACTTGGGTGGACACAGACCAAAAAACCCCTTTGATTTTTAAACTGGAAAGTAAGGGTGGTTGTCACCAGTGACTCTAGCAGAATACTTCAACACTGTGAGCTGCAGCGTACTTTACTTTGTTTTAAAAGTGGAAGTATACTTACCTACTTACTGCTTAAATTGCATTGCAGTGTTTACCTGGAGATGGGTAGTACGATTATTCGCTGTAAACTTAAGCTGTGTTTTTCCTTTCAGCAAATTGTTTTATCCTGTATTCACATGTGTAGCCTTTTTTGTTGTTTCAGCCTTAATACAGATTTTGGCAGCTGCTGAGGCTGGACGTGATGTTGTTTATTTTACCTTTGGAGATGTGGAGCTGATGCGGGATATTTACAGCATGCACACTTTTCTCTGTGAGAAGGGCCAAACTATTGGTGAGCATAAAGAAATCTTTTCATGCATCAAGGAGACTTAAACACGTCTATAACTAGAAAGTGTCCAGTAAGAATTATTGTCATCAAGTCCTGAACACCAGCAAATGGATCTCAGTTTATTTGTACCTGTTTCTGGAGTAGGGAACTCTTCTGATTCGGGATCTGTTGCGCAGTGTTATTCTGTCAGAAGGCTTCTAGGATCCTTTTCTAAATCATTTGCAAGTTAGCTCCAGAACTTGGAAAATACAGATATGTATGGTAGACAGAAGGGTTGCAAAAGTGTTTGCTGTAACTCAAATCTTTTAAAAAGGGAAAATCTGCTTACGCATTCTTGATACAGATTTGTCCTATAGTGGTTCTGGCTTGATCCTGCGAGACGTGGTCAGATGTGTCATCCAGTACCAATACAAGAAAAGCAGTGTCTCCATTGCCCCAGTGTAATTGTTAAACGTCTTTAACTTCTGGGACAGAAACACAAAGCTAGGGAATTGGCAATACATTTGTAAGTAATACACATGTAAGCCTATTGTTCAGCTAACTTGTGTAGAAAGCCTGCAGCAAGTTGAGGGAGTGCACCTTATGTTCTGAACAAACCTGGAAACAGTCACATTCCCCTTGTTTGTCTACTTCTTCCACTGCTCATGTAAAGAGATGTTCTAAGCCACTATCCTAGTGTGAGTGTACATTTCTAGTCTTCGCTTACAATCGTACATTCTTCATATGGTGTGATCTTACACATTTTTTAATTATTTCTTTTTATTTTTAAGGGGATATTTATAGGCTGTTACTGAGATACTACAATGAGGAATGCAGAAGCTGTTCTACTTCAGGACCAGATGTCAAGCTGTACTCTTTCATATACAACACCATTGAGTCCTATGCAGATTCTACTGATGATGATGATGATGAAGAAAAAGGGTTGTGCTTTGAGGATTAAAATAAATGTATTTGATCAGAATATTGTTCATCTCCTCCCACTGGTATATTGTGTGAATTGCTGGGTATAATGTATGCATTGGCTTAACTTAATGTATATTGACTGCATTGGTAATTATGTATAATGCCCAAACAAAAAAAAAAAAAACCACCATTGAGAGACAGGATTTTTTGTTTGATGGTTTCATACATGAAAACCTTGTTCAAGTGTGTACAGAAAAGATTTCTCTGGTAAATCTGGTTTGTATTATACCTTGTTAAGCAGGAGATTTTGGTACACATTTGTATTTTAGTCAAGAGATTATTGAAAGACTTGAGATTTCTCCGTATTCATTTGCCTTGATTTCTCATATAGGCTTACTGCTGGAGTATAGGCAGCCGTGTAAACTCCTGAGATGATTTTAGAGAGAAGCATTGTAATGACTGTTCTCACTGAAAACTGTCATAATTTGATTACTCCCTAAGTCTGCCACGGTACCTTAATTGCTCTTATCAACTTTTTCATTCATTTAACTTAAAATGTCCTGGTTTAAATATTACTATTTTTTTAAAATAAATGGTTAAAAGTTGAAGTATTCTGGAGGAGCTATAATGCATTTCACAACTGCATTGTCTTTATTTAATCAGACATAAAAGTTAGCATGAAGAAGTAGAGAAAAAAACCAAGTACGGGAAGGTGGGAAAATGAGAAATGTAACCAAAGTTAGAGGCAGATGGAAACATTTTTATATGAAACTCTTCAATACAATATTATTGGTGCTATCTGTTACAACATTGAACAAGGTCTTAGACACGTGAGTATGTCTGAAGTTTCTCGAAGGTTCACTGTTGTTGGTGACATCATTTGAGTTAAGGTCTGCTACTTGTATTTGTATTGTCATATCGGTTCTCCTTTATCGCAGTGTGAGATACCCATGGGATAACATGAGCGAGGAAGTGGAAATCACTTGTGCATCAGTGGGAGGAAAGTCTGCAGGCTGCAGATAAGAACATGAGGCTTTGTTAGGAGTTCGCACCTGTGTCTTACTAGGCATGGAAATGACAAGAATGAAGAGAGGGCAAAAGATGTGTAAAAACTGTGCTATTACTATCTCTGTGAATACCAAATGAGTGTTGCTGTAGTACATAATAGTTTACACAAAACTGCAGATACATCTGTGATATAAAACTTTTCCAGGACTATGTACAGGGCCAATCCAATTAAATGTTTGTCTATGAGTAGTTTAAACCCGGTTTACGTTTAAGCCCACATTGCTAAGTTTAGCCTCTTCTGTCTTAGGTTTTCTGGTCTGTCATGGTTGCTATAACCAGTTTAACAGTACAAGTGAAAACCACAGCAGGAAATGTAGTGAGCTGAGGCTCCGATACCAACAAATCCTTTTGGCTAATGTCAGATAAAACCTCTCCGGGCCTGAAACACACCACATGGTAAATGCTGCGAGTCGGTGGCAGTCTGGCTTGCAGTAAAGCTCACACTGCTGGAGCGGCTCCGGGGGCAGCAGCAGCAGGGAGTTCGGGTCATGTATGAACACGTTGCGGGTGCTGCCGCCCTGCGTCAGCGCTGAGCGGGCAGCCTGGAGGCGTGTTGCTCGGAAGGTGACAGGAGCAGGGGTTTAAGGGTTTCTTCCCACTGACTGTGGTTTTGTCCACCTCCATCCATTACAAGGGAGATCTGAGCTAGTATTTTAGGCCTTTTTCTGGGTTTGCAACTTGTGTCCTCGGAGTTAGCGGAAATCTTTTTCTCCTGCTCCTGGTGTTTCGGTGTTGGCTCAGATTCTGGCAATAGGAACAGCAGTGGTTTATAATAAGCTCTTACTTGGGCATTGAGGTTCAACTATGTTAGTGCTTCTAGAGGCATTGCTGATGATAAATGTACCCTGTTAGTTAAGGCAAGTGATGGAAAATTGGTGCTATCTGCCAAACTTCTTCACCTTAGAACTCAGGATTTCCTATAGAAAAGGTGAACAGAATTTGTTCCTAAACAACTGGAAGAAAATACAGCAAAAAAACTTTAGGTGGCTACTAGATATGGCCCTCCCCTTTGTTGTAAACAAACACATCTTTATTAGTGCAATATTAATTTTAATTATAAGGGTAGTGATTGGTCAGGTGTGAAAAATGTACCAAAATAAGATGGCATAAAATTCTACTTCAACTCTAGAGACAGAAAAATATATTGAATTCTGGAAGGATTTTCTGAAGATCATATTATAGGGTATCCGGTTAAGAGAGGTTTTGCAGTATCAAGTGTTTCCAGGATAGTCCTAATCATTCTATGGATTCTATATTTTCACTCATATCCGAGATTTTTATAAGATTGCCTTTAATTTGAGATAATTCTTTAGGATATGTTTACCATAGAATTTCTTCCCCCCTATAAAATACGGTTGTATGGACAGGGAAAAGGAAAATATGTCATTTTCTGCTTAATGTGTCATCTGAGTAAGAGTGGTGTATCCTGCTGCATCCTACTGTGTGTCCCTGATCTGACAAAGGGTGATGATGTAAGCACACTTTGAATATGACTTTGATCACAGACAGGCTGAAGATTATATTTTTCTTAGTTTTGGGGACTGTTTTTTTTTTTTTTTTTTTTTTAAGCAAAATAGCCCACAGTTAACAAATTAACAGTGGTGTTACATTCCCATCCCTTTCTAATTCAATAAAGAGCTACACTGCCCGGAATGCTGCATGTGGAAGCAGGAATTTTGCATCAGCCCAATATGTGCTCTGCATATTTCTTTCTTTCTTCCCTCTACCCGTCACTCCCCATTTATGAACTACCTGAAATGTTTTCTTTAGCTGGAGCTGCCTTTTGGTGCTCTGAAGTAGCATGGAATGGAGAGGCCAGTCATCTCTTTGTGCAGCCTAGTAAGCTTCAGCTTCACTCTTCTAGAAACCTATTCATGGAGTATTCCATGGGGGGGGGGTTGTTTATTACTTTAGGGATGTTTGTTATATGATTTCAAATAAAAATAACCTTCCTACCAAAACTTTTGTTTTATACTTTTTAGCAGCTAAATTGAGTGCTTAATATGAAACAACAGCAGGCAGTCATGCAGACTGCTATATTGCCTCATAGTCCAGTTTGGTGTCAGAGCTCTTCTGTAGTTGTATGGCTCTTGCACCTAAATTCCTCAGTGTTGAGGTGTTCTTATATAATGATGAGTACCCATTGCTGTATATATTAATTTATAAACTGTTGAAGTGCTCCTGACATTATTCTAAACTTACAGTTTATGCACCATTATATTATATTGATTTTTCTGGACCTGTATGCTAATGTTTACATGATTTTGTAGGAATACAATTAAAAAATTCTGACCGAAGCAATATTGTGTGCTTTGTCTCATGATATACTTTCCAGGACACAGAAGTGCGAGCACATTTGAATGTACATGGCACAATACTGCAGATAGTTCTAGCAGTAAATTTAATAATTCCATTGCTTTGACACACAGAATATAGCAAAGTAATTTGTTCTTCCTGTACGACACTGTAGCGGTTGCTCTGGTCTGCGTAGCAATGTGAAGAGGAAGGATTTACTACTGTAAATTAGAAGGGTGTTGGCATGAGTGTGAGATTTCCGATGTGTGTACAGCCATATGCAGACATTTCAATTCCCCGTTTGCTTTTGGTAAGCAAGTAAGTGTTCGGTTATTCTTTGAACTTCATGAAGGAAATATAACTAAATAAAAGCAAATAAAGCCCTAGGAAGATATAAATAACGATCGTGTTGCATAAATGTTTGCATGGTTTGTAAAAGTGGGGCTGACATCATCCTAATGGACAAGATTTACAACTGTTTTTCAAAAACCTTGGTTTAAGCCAGTAAGGAGCTCGATTTTTTAGCATTACAGATAATTAGAATAAAATACAATTTGATTGCTCCTAAGGCTTTAGATGTAGCCAAGCTTATTAAAGCTTTCAGGGTTAATGCTAGAGGACGTGGTCTCGCACAGCGGCGGCAGGGCCGGGGCCGCAGAGCAGCGGGGGTGCCCACCCCCTGCTCGGCCTGGCCTCGTCCTCCAGCAGGGTTTGTCGTTCTCGGGTTTAGATTCGATTCTTCTCATGTAAACAGCCCAAATGGTGTCACTGTCTGTCAGAGGAGTTGGGCTGAGTGGTGGATAAGCTGGAGAAGGCAGACTTCTGGTAGTGTGATGACTGGGTAGAGGGGGGTCGATGCCCTTAGCGTTGTACCCTGTAAATCCCTGGGGATGGGGAAGCAGGAGAAGGTGCTCTCGCACTCTGCTGCTGCAGTGGGGAGGCAGCTGCCAGTTTCTCCTGTCCCAAGCTGTCACTGATCTAACTAATTGGCAAACACCCTCAGGAGTATGCTTTGCTAATACTTAAAAGCAACTAGAGCCTGTGGAGATGACTCCTTAGGAATAAAGCCCAATTGCAAGGGCTGCTTCCCCATGGACTTTTCCCATTTTTCTCCATTGCAAACCCTTGGCTTTCCCCCTTTGTATTTGGATAGGGGAGTCCCAGACAACTGAATTTCACAACTTCTGACATTTACATTCCAGGCTGCATCCTCTCAGCCGAAGCAGCTTTCTATGACAGAAGGACAGACAGATGGATGTCAGACCTTGGGATACCAAAAGCTATTATAAACTCTGAGGTTCACTGATGTATCTGTGTATTAGCCAGTGCGAGGTGATGCAGTATTTGCTCTAGATGGATGACTGGGGGTTTTTTTTACATTCATTTTTTAAAATCTGTAGAAAATCTCCTTTCACTATTTTGTGGTACATTTTTTACAAGAGTGAGAGCATCCATAAAATCAAGGAAACTGCAAGATGCTACAGCTGTCTGAAGTTATTTGGTTTTGTGGGGGTTTTTTTGTGTTTGTTTTTTTGTTTCGTTTTTTTGGTTTGGTTTGGTTTTTTAACTAAGAATTGTATATTTATGATCTTGTTTTGTGCTAACAGTGTTTCATGCTCGTTTATCATTGCTTAAGTGAGTGTGACCTGGAAGCTGCATAGGGGGTATCTGTCACTGATAACTCCATTACAGCAATGCCATCAATTTCTGTTTAACTGAGCTGTCAGCCGGGGTTACGTCAGGTGGTTCTGGTAAGTGGCCCTTGGTCCACAGCTAAAGGAAGCGCTGGTGTGTTCCAAGTCCTCTTGGTCCTGCTGTGGCATGCTGCTACGGTCTCTGCAGGCGTGCGTACACGGTGCTGTGCCTGCTGGCTGGGTGATGCACATATCGCGGAAGCTTAAAAAAGCTGTCACAAACTGCAGGCAGTGTGGATCATTAATAGGTAGTTAATCAGCTCTAAATCTAGCAAGCAGAGGACAGTGGAACCTGTGCACAATAGAGAGAGATTGCACAGTCTCTACAATCTGGCTGACTGGCTGGAATCCACAGTTTACGCACCTCAGCCTTTCCAGTCGGCTCTTTAGATCAAATGGAAAATGGATTGCGCTGAAAATCCTTTCCGTCGCTTACCTGCTAAACCACAACAAGGAAAAGACAGGTTTTTGTGTTTTGGTGGGTTTTTTTAACAGCAGATTGAACAAGTGATAATAAAAAATGGAGATTTATTGCCCTTTTGGGTTTTTTGTTTTGTTTTTTCTTTTAGAGTATCTAAGAGGACCACTTCAATGTTCAAGTTTTCAGAACAATGGAATACAACGAGGGGATTTCTCCATTGGGTGTAAAAGCATGTCTGATTAGGTAAAGATTACTGAGAAGCCCCAACTTTTCTTTCTGCCTGAGTGGTAAATGTTGGTTTGGGTAAATCTCCTCCTGGAGAATTCATGTAACACACAGGTAACTACCTGCCTACCCTGTACAGAACTTTCCACAGAGTCTTTGTCTATGCTGTTATCATTAATAGTTACTTGGAAGGCCCAGTTCAGTGACAGCTTTTGTTTCTGGTTGTTCTTTAAAGAGATGCCTTCTGCAACTGCTTGGAACTCATACCTACCATAGCTGCTTCCTTTTGCTATTAATATTATCAAAGCACGATTCTTCAGAGAAAAAACTGAATTTGCTAAATAGGAAGGGAGTGAAAAAACAGTGGAGCGAGTTTGTTTTTAAAATCCATGTTTAAAGTTAGAGAGAAACTGAATGTAGTGCCACACAAGATGCTACTAGTTTGGATGGAAGGCATATGTACATGTATCAGCATTTAATCACTGTCTCTACACAAATGTTGAGCTTCAATTCCAAAGGCTGTTTCTGTAGGAAGGTAGTTATGAAAAATTACAAACTGTTTGTTTTAATATATCCTTATGTTGTTGTTTTTTAAATGTCTGACCTTAGCTGAAGGTTAAGTCATTACTTATATTTTTGCCTGAAAGTACTATGTTTGGTAGCTTTTTTGTAAGCTGTCATTTACACTAGGAACAACATCTGGAGTGTGTGAGAAATTAAACCTCTGTAAATCCTGGCTGGATGTGCTCTGTAATGGCTATTCAGCATCTGACATCTCCTTTTCAGGGTGGCAGAGTGTGTTAAGAGGCAAAAGGGGAAAGCAGCAGTCTCCTTGTTCAAAGACAGTGTTTCTGCCTTTCTTTTACAGTCACTTTATGGAGATCAATAGAAAATTATTTTGATTGTTGGGGAACAGTTACATTTATTCTCAGAAATTGCTGATAGTACCTGTTAAAAACGAAACAAACCAGAAAAACAAAGGCAGATTCAGAGATAAATTTCAATGTTTTCATGTTTATTATAGGAATCTGCTACAGTCACACTCTCCAAATACAGTGATTAGGTTCTCTTAGCAATCATTATCAAGACCAGTTATTGGTTTTGTTTTTTGTTTTTTGTTTTTTTGTTTTTTTTTTTTTATTAGCCTTTACTTTCCAAGTTTGCAGGTGTTTGCAAAGAGGGCAGAAAACACTTTAGGGACGCAATTAATTTCTTTTTCTGCGTTCACATTTGCTGCATCTCAGTCTTGCACATGTTGATGTCCAAGAAAAAATACCTGTATGGATTTCCTTAGGTGCCTGTTTGAATAACATTTTTCATTTGTGAAAGACTGTCCTGTCTGGATGCTGATAGTAGTCTTGCTTTGCTTACGGGGGTGGGGTGGAAACAAAGGTGATGTTTTTCTAAAAAAAAACAGCAATGTGAGCTCTGATTGTGCCCAGGTAAGTCACGTTCATTTTGGAGCTCAGTGGGGAAATGACAAGCCTAAGCACCTTACATGGCCAGAATGTTGCAACTTTAGAATTGGGGATAAGAAATTAATGGTGAATTTTCTCCAGGCTGCTGCCTCATTAAGTCAAGATATTTTGCTCTGTGTAGGTGGAGCACCAGAAAGCAGGTTTTCAGTGAAATATTTCAATGGGCTTGTGCATCTTCATCAGTAGCAATGCTCCCATGTTAATGGTCCTGAGTAGCTGCTGTCCCCTTTTTGTAATCCCCAATAACTGGGCGAGCAAGAAACTGTGTCCATGTGTGCAGAAGGCAGGGTGTCCCCTCTGGCTGGTATTGGTTTTGCATGACTAACAAGGATGAAATGTACTAAAAAGATCTTTTCCCATTTCAGGAGTTTAACCTGCTCCACTTGTAAAAGAAAGTGAATTGTTGAATTAATCTGTTATGCAAGTTCCACAGCAGGTATTACCTATGAAGGGACACTTGAGAAAGTTCATGGTTTTGAACTGTGATGTTAGTGTGGATTACCACTAAGCAGAAAGAAGCTTTGTTTACTTCCGTTTGAAAGCAGAGGAAGCTCAATCAAACCAATTAATTTTGAAGAGCGTCCACTTAAGATTTAGATGTAGTTAGTGTCATCTGCTTTAGAGAAGCTTCAGAAGAACCTTCCTCCACAGCCTTATATCAGCGAGGACATCACTCCTGCACGCTGTGCTTTCAGCTGGAAGTTGAAGGGAAATGCTGAGTTTGCTAATTTATTTCATTCATCAGAGCATCTTGGCACACTAGATCCAATGAAGATATGGTATAGATCAAAGTGTTTCACCATGGCAAGAAGTTAATTTTGCTAAGATTTGAAGACTTACCTTTTCAA